GTATTGTTAAGAAAATAAAAATCTACAAGTCTATATACAATATGTATAGTCAAAGTCAAAATTGAGGAAGATTTTTGTAAATTTTTCTAAAGTGTCTCATTTCAATTTCCACCTCAAAAATCATATTTTGTTAATAACTTTAAATTGCTACATTTTCAGTCAGTACATTGTTCCTGTACTTAAGTTATTTTTTAAAGTCCTTTCCAATGATATACAACAAGTAAGGCTTAATCTTTCATTTGTAAGACTTTCACTCAAAAAACATGGGTGTCTCATTTCAATTTCCACCAGTGTATACTCACACAAAGTTTTACTGTAATTGGATAAACCTTCGAAGAAAAAAAGTGATGAAATTGATTTTGACTAGGGTCGCCCCAAAGTTTAATTTAAAATAAAAAAAAATCACAGTGAACTTTTAATTTGAAAAATTCGTAAGAAAGGAAAGTTTTTTGCTTTTTCTGAAGCAACGGCTGTTCCTACCTTGCCTAAAAACAATACAGCTCTTCTATAGAGCAGCACGGATCAAATGTAAAAAACTAGAAGTCTCTACAATGTCTCGTTATTGAGATTTCTTGATGATTAACTTGCTTGTTTGCTTGTTTGCTTACAGAAAGCGTATTTTGCGATTTTCTCAGCAATGCCACAACCAATTTGAAATCTGTTTTTTGAAAATGATGTGAAATTCAAGGCACAAACTTTTCATATCTGAACATTTTAAGCTATCTTGCTCCATATCCTCACAAAATTCAAAAAACTGATTTTTCAATCTGAACAAAACCAATAGATTCACACGTGAAAACGGTGTGAATATAATGATCAAAAAGTAAGTAATCAGCTCGGTAACTAGATAATTCTCAATGTCACATCCAGGTCCTTAATATAAAAGTTGTCAATGCAAGTTCTACAAGTTCTACAAGGAATCAAAATTTCGAAAAGAAAAGCTTTGAAGAGCTCATCTGTAAAAGCTTCTTCACAAACTATTCTAAGCAATAAGGATCAAATTATTTTATATTCTTAAACAGCACCTGCCAATTTTTTAAGATCATAAATTTTTAACAGAAGGAGAACTTGATAAAAAGTCATAAAGACATGCATTTTAACTAGTTTTTAAAAACAATTATCACGTATAAATTGTCATTGGATGTTGTGACTTAGAAAAATCTTTAATTTAATCTTCAAACATCTAGTAAATGTGCTAATCAAATCTATCACCTATATACGATTTTAACACGTGCAAAAAACATCACAAATGCCGACTGTTACATTGTTCTATAAAATAACTTAGCTAATAGCAGTTGCCTTCATAGAAAAATTCCATTGTGTTAAAGAAAACTTGATGTTAGATTGTAAAGCATATTTAGTGATAATTTCAATGCTAAATACTGCAATCTCGTGCTTAATTATGATTCATTTGCACTTGATGCAATCACAAGAATTTTAAAAATCAATTAAAGTAATTGAATTACAGTGTTTATAGATGAACTTTGAGTTTCCCATAATCGTGATCATTTATTTCGTGACACAGTCAATGATTCATATGGGAAATTATTTGATCAAATAAAATGAAAATTTAACGGTTCATTGGAACTTCAAAAAATATAAATTTCATCACGAAATGACACAAGCCACAACTTTCCACTTTTTAAGTGGTTTCGATTAAACTTTAAGGTTATGATTAACACGAAGTTGAGAGTTTGGTTCCGGGTCATAAGTTAAACTATAGCTTAAGATGGAACTAAGTGTTTACCGTCTCATTTATTTGAAATGAAAGAGGATTAAAAATAAACGGCTAGAAACAAAAATACAAAAATATTTCTTAAGCTTCAGGAATTCACATCCTTAAAATTATCATACTCGTTTCTTAATCTTCAAAACATGATACCATCAAGTTATAATAAGAATATAAACAAAAATGACCTTGACTTTTTAAAGCTCTGCAATCTGTTACACATCTGCTTTTGTTTGAACAAAAACTGAGAAACAAAAGTCAAAAATATCAGAATTTCAGTATTAATTCCAATAATTGTGCAGCTATAAACTTATAAAGTAGTCAAAGAATTAAATTGCTTATCACAAAATCAATTTAAAGCTCAAAACCATAACAATTATTATTTTTTAAGCAACACAAAACAATAGCTAATAAAGAACATTTAACTGCTGACCACGTTCATTGTGGTTCACTGTTCATGCCTCAACACATTAAATCACTCAAACGCTCACAAATAATGACACTGAACTAAATGATCCAATTACTTTTTTAAACACAGAAAAATGGAAACATTCCAGTGACGGGAAACTTTGATAAAAATACTGCAATATTGATGGATACTCCACGATGTGGAGTATCTGATAAGAATATCATTGGGACACGTCACAAAAGATACACTTTGATGTCCAGTAAATGGCAGACTACAAATCTTACTTACAGGTTAGTACTTGAAATCTTGTTCTTCATAAACTCTTAAAATAATATCCAATCAAACAGATTTGATCATAAAGACAAAGAGCCATTTAAAACGGAAGCAGGCAACATCCACAGAATACTTCGTGAAGCATTTGATGTTTGGGAAAAAGACACAATAATGAAGTTTACAGAGATTAAAGAAGGAACTGCTGATATAATGATTTCATTTGAGCATCCAAAACATACTCAAATTGATCCTTATGTATTTGGGAGTCAAACTCTTGGTCATGCATTCCAACCAGGACGAGGTCTTGGTGGTGATGCACATTTTAATGAAAGAATCAAATGGGATTTTAATGTACAATATGATAGCAAGCCTGAAGATGGAAAAATTAGTTTTTATGCTGTTGCTTTACATGAACTTGGACATACTTTAGGTAAAAATATTTATTAAGTAGCTTATAGAAAATGTTTAAATATTTAATCTATAGGTCTAGGACATACTCGTGATGAGGAAGCTGTCATGTATGAATTCTACTCAAAAAGCACATCGACTTTAGCTGAAGATGATATTCGTGGTATGCAGCATATCTATGGAGTTCCACCAAATAGAAAATATAAACCAGATAATAAAGCAAAAGATGAAGAAGATGAGATGCCAGTTTGGGGTCAAACCCCAATATTACCAGACAAATGCAATACATCTTATGATGCAATTGCAATGATTGATGGAGAACCAGTTGCATTTAGAAAGAAATATATGTTCAGTCCAAGCAAAGCAGTGTCTGAAATTCGATCTCGTTGGAAGTTATCACCGAGATTGACTCATGTTGATGCCGTTTTTCAAACTTCTGACAAAAAAGTTATGTTCTTTATATCCCAAGATGTTCACGTATTTGATGGCAGTAGACTAGCAAAATCATATAGATTGAAAGACTTTGGTATTGACGAAAGTGTATTAAAAATTGACGCAATTTTAAGGAAATCAGACAACAATCAAATTTATATATTTTTTGAAAATTCCTACTATCGTTTTGATGAACACAAAATGTCAGTTATTGGAACTAAATCTCGAATAACGAAAGTATTCAGAGATGTTTTTGATTTTGATACTGGATTTACATACAAGGATGGAAAAACTTATTTCTTTAAAAATGAAAATTCTTATGAGTTTGACAATCAAAATTGGGTTTTGAAAAGAATGAAGCCAGTCCTTTCGGCTAATTTGTTTATGAACTGTAACGTCCCTACTCCTGAAATTTTTACTGATCGTCTTGGTAATGACATGGATTATATAAATGACGAAGAAGCTGATTTCTTACCAGAAGCACCAAATTGTCACGATAATCCAGAGATACCTTGTAATGAACTAGATAGTGGAACCGCAAAGAAAAGCTACACAATCACTTTTTTTGTTCTTGTTGGATCCAGTTTTTTAGTTTAAAATGGAAATTACTAAGGGGCCCTGAAAATTTCTATTTAAACGGAAGAGTGGATCAACTTTGTACGTCATTCTGTCTAATTCAATAACCTTTTGTAACTCCACATGTCCTATTCTTCCTATTACACTTACCTAGACAGATTTAGCCGAATCTGCTAATGTAGGAGTAAAGTGATTGAGCGGTTAAGCCATACAATTTAATCCTTTGTTATTTAAAGAAGGGTTCGATTCCCACCAAAGGCTGACAAATATTTACATAATGCTCACGACATCATAGTGAGCAAGGGTTAACTCTACACTAAGAACAAGAGTGTACCCTACATTTAAGAGCTGGATGGCAAAGCCATTTTGGGAACGAGATTCTTTCTTCCCATTTTAAAGTAAGGGGCTGTTCACTTGTTACGTAACGCGAAAAAATGACTTTTTAGACCCCCCCCCCTCGTAACAAAATTTGTATGAAAAAAAAATTTCCTTGTTTGAACCGTAACAAAATCTTAGACCCCCCTCCCCCCTAAAAGGGTTACGTAATAAGTGAATGACCCCTAACCAAAACTGTCGGATATCCTTTTAATCATTCAAACAAAATTTCTTTCCATGGTTTGATTGTGATAACTCAGTATTATTTTCAAACAGACAGACTGACACAGAAAGTGCAAATTCATTTGATTTTATTTAAAACATATTTCAGTAGGTCCAATAATTTCGTTAGGTTTTTAATATATTACAATATCTCAATTCCATTAATTTTTTTTATTTACACATTTATTTATTTTTTGTAGGTAATTAGTATGTATATAAAATGTAGAGTTTACGTCTGTGATTAAGCAGAGTATTTAAAAAAAATTAAAATTCACAATTCTTCTTTTCTAAAAAATTCCTTCAAAGTTCTTTACATATTTCAATCTTCTTGAATAAATAACTGATGTCAGTGAAACTCAATCGACCTGTTTCACTAAAGTGAATTATCCTCGATTTCGGATTATCCACTTCAGTTTTTTGGAAATATCTTCAGAAGCTTAAAGTTATTAAGAGATCTAATGTGTGATCTAGTTAGAGTACTTTGCTACTTAAATTAACATATACTTAGAATTTTTATATCTTCATTAGTTTGAGAATTATAGCAAAAATCGAAGTTAATCTACTAGATTTGCCTAGAAAATTGAATAATTAATACTTCTTAACAAAAAGTAAAAGTTTAAAGTATACAGAAATTTCAGGCATAGTTCACTCTATTATAATCCAAAATTAGAAATACCACACCTCCCATAAAGTTTAAGATATTTGCAAAAAACTGAAGTAGATAATCCGAAATCGAGGATAATCCACTTTAATGAAACAGACCGAATGCTTTTTTGAATTTTGTAACATAAATCCTGTAGAAAAACAAACTGAGACTTTTCAGTGCCACAAAAAAGAAATCTATTATTTGTTTTTGTTCCTAGTCTCATCCTATGATACTTATACACGTTTGGATATTGATGTAACTAGGAAAAGAAGATTCAGGCACGTTTAAAACTTTTTTAAAAGAAAAACTATTTTTAAGATTCATCTTCCCTTGACCACACATCTGCTTTCAGTTGCATCAACATTAAACACTTAAACATGTGCTAAAATATTCCGCCTCCAAAAAATGCCAGATATTTTTTTCACCATTTGTTTAAGAAAATCTTTGAATTGAAGGTTTACTTGTTTAATTCAGGTGGGAAAGGAAGATACTAATAAAAGGTTTTCCAAAAATTCTATTGCTCTATTTCAAAAAAGGATGTTATTTCCGAATGAAAATGAATGGTCCCAAAGTATGTTTTTCAAATGAAAAATCAAAAGATTGTACAAACCTGTACTTATATGAAATTCGCAAAATTTCAACAATCTCTACTGAAGAAAAGGAAATTGCACGTTTTCTCAGAAAAATCATCAAATTCTCAAAGAAAAGCAAATCATTTTCATGCAAAAACCTCTTCATCACTTCCATGACACTTTGTCAATTCTGCTAAACTTTTGGAATATCATTTTTCTTCTTTTGAATTCGAAGACTTCCATTTAAAAGTTTATATCATAATTATTATGCTCATTGAAGTTTGAGATAAGATAAGTACTATCTTAAAGTTTTTTTTAAATGAAATTTAAGGTGTTGACTCTAATATAACACAATGTTTAAAATCTCGTCTGTCGAACCATTTTTCTACAACCTTACTAAGTATAATCCGCGCCAAATTTGGTTACAATAGAAATAAACACTAGCGTTATTTATCTTTGTTTGCACTTCTTCATGACACTGACATCATTTAAAGTTCTGCAACTTCACCAAGTACTTGAATTTCAAGTGTCAATTACTCTTGAAAATTGAAAATCGATGTCAAAATTTGTTTACATATTGCGCGCCAACTGTAAATGACGCATAAAGTTTCATTACTAACTTTGAAAAGAGCTCGCGAGAGAAATACAAAAATATACTCAGTACTTAGTTCCTTTCATTCTTTTTTCTCTCTTCTTACTGTGTGGATTGCTTTTTATTTTCTCGTCAGAGATATTTTTACATTTTCAAAATAAAGAAAAATTATGATTTTTATAAAACAGACTTTCACCTTATTACTTAGTTTAGTTTTAGTTTTTCAAATAAGTTGTGTTCCTATTAGTGATTATAATGAAGTATTTGAATACCTACAAAACTTTGGATATTTATCGAATGATGAGAAATTGTCATTAAATCATATTGTTGACAATCATAAAAGTGTAAAACATGACAATCGGCTCAGGAGAGCATTGAAAAACTTACAAGTAAGTGATCAGAACTTAAGTTCTGCTCTACAAGTGTTATTTAATATAAACATCCGAATATTATCAATTGTCTCTTTAATATGGTGATAATACGATGCTGGAAATCCCCAGTGTTACCATTTGAACTCTCTTAATTGATCATGAATTTAATATTTTGGAAATTTCTCATGTGTATCAAAAAAGTATGAACAATTTAATGAATTACAAATTTAGAAAGAAAATAATCACTACGAACTCTCAAAAATGTGAAAAAGAAGAAAAAGCCGAAAAAGAGAGCAAATAGTTTTATGGGCCCGGCAGAAAGTAACGCATTTTGAACAATTTTTGTTTTGAATGTCATGCATTGTTAGTTCTTCATTATAATTTAACTAAGCTCTTTGTTGCTTGAATTTTTGGGAGTTTGTACTGTGCATACTTAATTAACTCTACACTTAACAATAGTTCATCAACAGATCTTCAAATTCTTTTGAGAATCGTGCTGAAAATTTAAAATTTGACAGCATTCATTAAAATTTGCAATGTTCATGAATTGGAACATAAAACTGACTGCTATTGACTATAAATTCTAATAAACAAGACTGAAGATAATTTATAAGATTATAACTTAGGGATCGTTCACTTATGACGTCCGAAAATAACGGTCATTTTTCAAAAGAAAACAATGGATTTCCAGGAATTTCTATTGTTCTTTTCTTGCTGACCCCCCCCACCCCTCCGCTGGACGTCATAAGTGAACGGCCCCTTATTTGGTTAGATTCAGACTTGAAGCTATAAATATCAAATGCACAAATCTGTTAAAAATAAATAAAATTTGATGTTTATTGCTCGAAGTTCAGTGAGAGACTGTTTGCTTGTATAAACAGGGGCAATCAACTATGAAAATTTTAAGAATTTTTGAACTTAAACTAATCGTTATGACATCAAAGGTTTTATAATCTCTTCAACGAAAGCCAAAAAGCAAAAGTAACTTTTTCAAAGGTAGCATTCAGGCTAAAGTAATATTTCAACTTTCAAATTTATTGTTTTTTCTCATGTTCAATCTTATAAGCGTAAAAATACTTGATTGTCATTGTCAATTGTTATTATCATTTAATTGGCGTCATTCAAGATTAAAACCAAGTCTCAGACACTTTAGGAAATACTAAACCAATAAAATTATACGATCCAAGACTAAAGGTTTATTAATAATGTCAAAATATATTCAAATATTGCAAATACAAACTCATTATCCTCATCTCTCTGTGGATTACCATTCATGTGATCCAGAAACTCAGTATTCTATCATAAACATTGAATATCTAATTGCTTTTAATATAGCGTGAAATAAGCTATTTGTAATGTTTTTTCTAACATGTATTAAGACAATAAAGGCGCCCGCTTTAATGTGTGACAACACTAAACACTTAATGATAGCTGCCTTCATGAATGAATTGCTCTATTGTATTGGAAAGAATTTCTCAAATAGACGATAAACTCGAGACTTTTAATGATAGCTATTGTTAAAGTTATGATTCATTTGCATTTGATTCAGTAATTTTAATTCATGAATTATTAATTGAATTTTATTATAAATAGATTAAAATAATAATGTCATATTGATTTTCCCTGCGTCAAAGTTACTTATCGCAACTTACTGACATAAATGATGACTCATCATGTGACTTTATTTTTGAATCGAACTTTTTCAATAAGGAAAAATATTTGTAAATGATTCACGGTCCTTTCCGTTTATTATTGAATTGGATCATGGAATTTACTTTACAAGAATGTAGTCAATCAGATTAAGTAGAAATAGACTCATTTTAAAAAACTGACAGGGAAGTCAAAGTAGATTGATTCTCTAAATTCCCATTTTTCAATTTTGTTTATTATGAAGCAACTTAAAGTAACATTTAACATTTGATTCTACTTCGTTTGGCTGTGCTTCGATTCTAAGTTTCATTAGAAACGTGTATTGGGTAGACGTTCTGCTAAATAAAGGCATATGACTTCATAAAGTTATTCGTTTGACGATATTATGAAACGTAAACAAAATTGACCTTGAGCAAACAATTTTTCTTTAATTTTAATCAATATTCTTGAGCCCATTGGTGACTTTTATAAGTTACATGTAATTACGTGTGATTTCTGACAACTTCTTGTGTTCAGCAACAAGTCTTTTATTCAAATTAATAAACGTCACTCAGTTTAATCCCATTTCTATTGATATATTTGACATTATGTCTTAACGATCCCAATCCTTATAAATGGAATGTTGTTTGCTTAAGGATTAGTTTGTTCAAGTCAAACTGAATATGAAACGAAACATTTAGACCGAAAATATTAGCTCGCTTTTCTTAAAATAGATCTACATATTACAAACGATAAAGAAAATCAATTTTTATGAGTGATCCGAGAATTTGTGGCATTTAAACAAATTTGTTCTTAAAATTTTCGATCGTTCAATCAACTAAATATTTATGTATATCGAATGGTGTGTGGTCGGGTCAGAGTTGAATCTTGGATGTCTAGACATACGTGGACGAATCTGCTGACGTACTTTTGAGGTTTAATTGTCTAGGTTTATAGACAACATATTAAAAACTGCAAGATTCGTTTAAAATCATTTAATTTCGATTTTATCAAATTCTGAATTCTCGCATTGAATAATTTGTCCTTAATGAATTCAACTCTGCTTCGATACCACCAACAAATTTAAAATCCATCTAAACAAACTTGATTTTAAGCTATAAATTTCAATTTGCAATGTTTATATTTTAACCTTCGTTAAAAATTGAACTTTTATTATCATGGCAATTTTCTTATATAAACTTAGAGAAATGGAAATATACCGATAACAGGAAAGTATGATAAAAATACTGCAAATTTGATGGAGACGCCTCGTTGTGGAGTGTCTGATAAGAACATCATTGGAAAGCGTCATAAGAGATACACTTTAATGTCTACTAAATGGCAAAATACTGATCTTACTTATAGGTTTGTATTAAATATCAAGACTCATGCTAGAGCTTTTCTTCTACTCTAATTTTCATTCTTATCCAAATAGATTTGATCATAAAGGCAACCAAAGATTCATGGATAATGAAGAGGATATCAAACGAATCATTAGAGAAGCATTTAATGTTTGGGAGAAAGACACGATAATGAAATTTAACGAAATTGAAGATGAAATTGCCGACATTATGATTTCATTTGAGAAACCAAAACATACAGACGTTGATCCTTATATTTTTGGATCAAGCACATTAGCACATGCATTTCAACCAGGACGTGGCATTGCTGGTGATGCACATTTTAATGAATTAATAAATTGGGATTTCAAAGTAAGCTACGCTAGTAAACCAGAAGATGGAAAAGTTAGCTTCTTTGGTGTTGCTTTGCATGAACTTGGACATAGTTTAGGTAGGGATGAGTTTTTTGAAGGCCTCAAAGGGAATAATTAAATTAAATGTGTTCTACAGGTCTAGGACATACTCGTGTTGAGGAAGCTGTCATGTATGAATTCTATTCAAGAAGCACATCGACTTTAGCTGAAGATGATATTCGTGGCATGCAGCATATTTACGGAGTTCCACCAAATAGAAAATACAAACCAGATAGTAAACCAATTGATGATGAAGAAGAGATGCCAGTTTGGGGTCAAACGCCATTACTTCCACACAAATGCAACTCAAGTTATGATGCAATTGCAATGATTGATGATGAATTGATTGCATTCAGGAAGCAATACATGTTTGGGCCAAATATGGACACAGTTGAAATTCGATCTCGTTGGCGTGGCTTATCACCAAGATTAACTCATGTTGATGCTGTTTTTGAAACATCCGATAAAAAAGTTCTGTTCTTTGTTAATCAGGGTGTATACTCCTTTACTGGAACTAAGCTAGAAAAAACTTATAAGCTGAGTGATCTTGGGATTGATTCCAGTGCACTTAAAATTGACGCAATTTTCAGAAAAGATGATACAAATCAAGTATTTATCTTTGTTGAAAACTATTACTATAAATTTGATGAGCATAAAATGATGGTATCTGATGCAAAATATAGAATTTCCCAAACCTTTAGAGATGTTTATGATGTTGATACTGGATTTACATATAAAAATGGAATCACATATTTCTTCAAATATGGAAGCTATTACGAATTTTATAATAAACTTTGGCGCATGAATAGAATGAAACCTGGATCATCAGCAAGTTTCTTCATGAATTGTATCGACGCTTCAATTGGAGTTGATTTTGCAGTTCGTGTTAGCATTGATGAAACTGAAGATATCAGTAAAGAAAGCACAACTAAAATATTAGATTATATTGATGAAGGTGAAAAAGAAGATCTAACAGAATTAGATTGCAACAATCCTGAGCTAGCTGTTCCTTGTGAAAAAGATAGTGCTGACAGTATTAAAAGCTTCTCATTTATAGCTGCAGTATTAATTGTAACTCACTTCTTTGTTTAAATCAATTTTAAAAAAGGAAGTAACTTGATTTTTAGAAGTTGTGTACTTAACATAAAGTTTCAAAATTAAATCCGAATTTGTAATGAATTACAATCCTTAGTACAAAGTGTGTGTGATAAATTAGATGCTTTTAAAGCCTTTATATGTTATTTTGTTAAAGATGCCTTAGCTTTTGGTTCCAAACCTTTGTTAAAATATTTATTTATTGTTTAAGAACTGTTTAACATGAAATTTCATTCAAATCTTACTTCCAAAAATCAAGTTATTTTCTTTTTTATCATCAATTGATGAAATTCATTTGGATTAATCTTAAATCCAATTGAACTTAATAAAATATTTTTATTTTTCATTTTAATTGCCAAACTCTAAGTTCTGTTCCTTCCACATGTCAGATTGATTTTTTCAGCTTGAAAGACTCCTTATTATTCCGAAATGTGGCTGGTTTTTACGTCTTCATCTACAATTAAATCAGAATCACCATAAATTTAATATTCAAAGCTTTTTGTACTTACCGATGTAGTTTCATCCTAGTAGATAAATAATATGCATCGAGGTTTCTTATAGGATTTCCCATGACGTTCAACACTTTGAATTTCTTCGTGTTATTAAATAAATCTTTATGAAGCTCGTGAATTTTATTATCTTCAATTCATAGTTCAAGATAGAAAAGCACGTGCTGTAAAGAGTCGATGACAAATTTGCGACGTCATTTTTATGTAAATTCAAGGTCGTCAGATTATTTAATCCTATAAATGTATTTTCGGTTAAGTTTTGGAAGCTGCTGTGTGGAGATCGATGCTTTCAAGCTTTAAAAGTTGGAAAGTTTCATCTTCAATTTTGTATATTTTGTTCCCTGATCATTTGATGTCTTTGAGCTTTTTCAACGGCATCATGATTTTTGAACTTACAATAATTAGGAAATTATAGCTGAAATCAAGATATTTAAGCATTGATAGAGAATTAAAATGTTTGTCGTCCACTTTTGTTATTTTGTTGCGAGATTTGTGAATGTTTTCAGGATCTGATCAGCAATTAAAACTGTTGTTTAGTTGACAGAAATTACCATTTTGACATCCTCATTTTCTTTGTCTTTTAAATGAGTCTTCTTGATCACTAAGCTCTTGATTCCCTGATTTACAGGGGTATTCAAATACATTTTGAAATATAAAATCACACTTTAAACTTGTTGGATTCAATGAATAAGTTTGAACAAAAAGTAGCAAAATTATCAACTTCATACTTCATAAAAATTTGGATATTCACAACTCTGATGATTGAATTTAATTGAAATATTTTTTAACAGATTTTTTTAGAAAATGATTTTTAAATAATCAGGTGAGACTCTCTCAGTCCTTTTTATTTTAGTATTAGCACTCAAGATATATTCTATTTTTAAATAAAATTTCGAGTGCAACGAAAGTTCTGGAAACTTAATGGGAAAGTAAACAAATTCTAATAAGAAAAGCTTAAACTTAACACTATTTTGTCCAAGTTTACATCCAATAAAATTTTATATAATTTTGTCATTCTATTTAAAGTGGATGCTTAGAATGTGAGTAGGATTTGGAGAACAAATTGCCCTAACCAAAATATTTAACTTCAAGTTTAACCAAGTTTAACGTAAAACTTCAAATCCATCACTCTTATTAGCGCATTTTCTTTTCAAGAAATGACGCTTTTGTCCGCACTTTGTTCTTCTGTCCGTAAGTACAGCTATTTCCTCCTCCAGTTTAAGCTTTTTTTAAACGATTTTTGGCTTATAATATTTGTATTGTGTCTGGCAAGGTCTGCCCAAAATTTCAGAATGATTGAAGCACAGGAAAGTTAATTAAATTAACTTTTTCTAAAATTTCACCTTACGTTTTACGTACGCATATTTTACGCAGCCTTTAAAACGTGACTTTTTTACAATCCCTAGGTGTTTTAGGTATGTTGAAATTTTCGATTTTCAAATTTTTCCACGCATTTTCCGAGTTTTTCACGGGGTTTTTTTTTTTATTTTTTCCACAAATTTTCATACAAATTTAACATTTTTGTCACAACTTTTGCATCTTTTGTCCTATTGCTGAAGTTTGGCATGCAGGTTCAGTGGCTGTTCCTGAATATGGAACCGACGACATTTTGATTCCAAGGGTTGGAAAAGTTGTGACAAAAAATGTTAAAGTTGATTTGACTTTTGTTTTGAATGTTTCCGTTACTTTTCAAATATTTTTAAGACGTTACTATTACATTTGGTTTTTTTTCTGTTCGAATTCTGTGCGGAGAATATGCGCTTCGGTCGATCACATGTGATCACCTCTTTACTAGTTTTCGTTATTCGCCGTTTGAAAAAAATTTATAGCAAGTTATAAAATGACTTTGCAAAACCTTATTTTTGGATGATTACTACACATTTGAACAGTTTTGATTACGTGTTTCAATGCTGTAGGAAAATTTTCTCACAATTTATAAGTAATAATAAAATTAAAAGCATAAAACTAGTTTAAAATGACTAAAAGTCAAAGTTTATACTATAATTCAGTTAAAGAAATAAATAAAAATCGGAATAGACCAAAATGAAATGCTCAGATCGTCTGAGAAACGAAAATTGTCCAACAAGTAAATAGAAATATATAAAAGTGTATGGCAACAAATATATAGCATAAAATTTTTTTTTTGGAGCCAATTGAATTTATAAGTAAGTGTGTTGATATGAAAAAAAATATAAGAACAAAAGTACTCAACTCTCATTCTTTGTTACTCAATTCTCTCTTATTTTTCTATTGTGCTTGTATTCATTCATTTATTGTTCAGCTTTACGGCACGACAGAGTAAAAAAATGTCAAAATATTTAGATTCTTTTATTTTTCTTGTCATTATTATTTTGATTATAATAACTCCTCTTCGAAGTGATCATAAGGTGAGTTTTGTGCAATCAAGTTTATCAATCTCAGTGAGTAAAAATCGAATTTCATAATTCGAGAACGTGATGAAAATTGAAAATGGGGTAAAAAGAGCCTGTTGACATACAAGAAAAAAAGTGTTGACCATAAACCTTTGATCTATATTTGTGATATTTTTTTAAGCAAATTGAAAACCTAATAATCTCCAAAATGAATTAAAGAAGACTTTTTTTTGAAGGTCAATTATAAGTTACGTGAAAGGTTTTCAGGTTTTTTAATGGTTTTCTTTGTATTGTGCGACATTTTGTCCTTAATGCGAATCTTAAGAATGCTCCAATTTAAAAATAATCTATATGATTCATATGCATGTATAACGTCAATGGTCATAAAGAAGATGTGTCTTAGGTAAAGTTAAACGAATTTAAGTGAACGCGTTTTTACATGAATTTTTAAAATAGTTTTATTGAATGACTTCTTGCTGTAGAAATATTAGTAATCACTTGCTAATGACGTTATCAATACTTTGGATCAGAAAATTAAATTATTTTTCGACACTGTAAACAGATTTTAATTTAATTGAACGGAATTTAATCAGAAAATTTGGATTGATAAAGGAAATGATATCAATGAATCAATGAGGACAAGGTGGGTGTCGATATATTTTGTGAAGCCAATGATTTGAGGGGCGCCGAAAAGGTGGGTGTCAGTTGGGGAGGGGGTCCGAATTTGAGGGGGTTTGTGGGAAAAGTTTGGTGTCAGGACATGATGGGTTTCGGGGGAATTAAAGTTTACGTGGGATTAATGTGAAGTTTTGTGGTAGGATTGACCTTAAAAAGATTATGGTTATTTGCGTCTAACAGTTATTTACATAATAGTAATCAAATTTTAACCATGATAAGAGGCGCCACGGGCGCCTCCGGATAGCCTAGTTCACAATAAAAGAGACAATTAACAATTTGCTAAAATTTTATGATTAAGGGGCAGCATCAATTTCGTAAATTTAAGTCAAGTATTAATTTTGTTGTCAAGGAAGAAAGGAAACATATATTTTAAACGAAATTTGTTGACATTTTTAAACCAATTTCTTAGTCAATAAATATTATTATAACACTGACCTACCACAATCTACTTTTTTTTTCGTCATTCATTCACACTTGTTATCTATTTTAATTTTTTTTTAAAAATAATCCTAATGAAAACAGAATTGCGAGAATTTAAAACTTTTTATACAAATGAACTTAAAGCAGAATTTTCAAGACTTTCTTGCACTTACGCTTAACCTTGACGAAGGTTGTATTCTATGAAATCATTTTTTAATGATTCAATTCATACCGATTGATAATATGATAATAGTAAAAATATGAAACAGAACAGGGAAGTGTAAATTTCTGGGAATAACAACTGGAGTGATTCATATTGAAAACGTCGTAAAAACATTTTCATGCAGTTTCAAGCTTGTCGACTAAATATCTTTTCAATAACTCAAAATTTTGCCAACATGTTATACATCATTGGAAAGGTCTTTATTTGATCTGAGTTTTTCGTTTTATTATTCCTAAAATTTTGTTTGAGTAAATTTTGGTCAAAATTTATGGATGAACTCCATATTATTGTATGTCGTTGCAAAAGGAATAAAAATACAAGTAATATGCAAAAAGTTTGAAATCAATATCTATTATCGTTTTCAAATAAGAGCTACTTTAGTCAAAAACTTGGGGGCCTCAAAAAATGATGTTCCATACATTGGAAAAAATTTAATTAATGTTAAAGCTAACTGCAAATATATAGGCTTTCAGCCAAAAAACGAATCATTGAAAATGGTTGAAAACTGTAAAAGTTATTCCAATTTACTTTTTTTAATTTTCTCACAAAGTTTGAACCGGTAAATTAACCGATAAAACCGGTTCAAAATTAATTTAATTAACATATTTTTAAAGATCAAATAAAGACCTTTCCAATGATGTATAACATATTGGCAAAATTTTGAGTTATTGAAAAGATATTTAGTCGACAAGCTTGAAACTGCATGAAAATGTTTTTACGACGTTTTCAATATGAATCACTCCTCAACTTGAGAAGATCTTTCAAAATAAAAAAATCTTTTTAATCCTCTTGTATTC